GTTTCGATTTATTTACGAAATTAATCTGACCAGTTGCTGCATTCTTTGACACTAATTTTCAAGAAAATAAAACTTCTGTGTTTCACTTAATTTAAGAGACACGTAGCTGAATATTAACATAGGTTCATTATTTAATTACTCGCAATAAATAATATTTTTGGAAGTAAATAACGTGTAAGTAAATTCATTTGTAAAAATTTATCAATTGCCAGAACGTAATTGTTCGTGCGTATTAAGATTCTTACAATAGGCAGTAAAACTATTCACACTCCCATATAAATTATAAATATGTAAATGTTGATAAAAGCGGTGTATATATTCTCCCATATGTAGATTTGATAAACTTTTTATGAAACTACATCTATTCTGAATTTATCTGTTACAAATATACAAATGTAAGGCAAGATATAAAAACGAATAAAACAAGAACATGTAAAAAGTAACATTAATAAAATGTCCATTAACGATGCGTTTAGAATAAATTGTCTTGTAGTTAAATGATAAAATATATACTTTTTCGTTTCATGTTTCATTACTGTCATATTTATCCCTTAACCTTAAACTGAAGCATCGGATATTTTTATTCCCGTCAAATCATATAGATACACACAATATGAATGGAATATATAACACTTCATTTGTGCTAATAATACTCAAAATTCATACTTTATCGGTAACGTCGGGTATTGACACTAAAATGTTAAGGGGGTTTCTGACGCCCTCGAAGCATGGGACAGAAAATTACATTGCATGTCAGGTCTATTCATATATCACGTCTGTGCTACTACACCGTGTGAAATCAAAAGTAATTAATTTTCTGTGATGAAGTATATTATTACATTTACATTTTTTTGTTGATTGTTTAATGTATCATTATTATTACACACTAAATTTTAAAAAATATTGTAGTAGAAACTTCAAGAGAAAATTCTACACAGTACATAGAAGCAGATGTGTTTAATGTTGTGGCTATACAATATTCAACAACCAATTTGACAAGTAGAATATTTTCAGTCAAAACAGATTTAATTAACATGGTATTTGTTAGATCTTTTTTGAAAATGTTTTGTTTTTATCTGTAATTTTAGGTATTGATGTAAATTCAAATTTATCTGAAAATATTAATGTGTCAAATACTAATGATCAAACATCTAAAATTGATGCAGCTACTCAAACGAAATTAAAATTATGAAGCCCAAGGAATGTAGCAGCTCAGATTGTCAGCTCAGCTTCAGCGTCGCATGAACGACTTTCTGTCGCGAGATATTTCGTACATAGCATCGCATGAAAGACATTGCGTTGCAAGATATCTCGTCCAAAGCATATCATAAACGAAATCACGTGGCGAGATATCTCGTCCTCCGATGCGAAGGGGTTAAAGGTAGCAGGGGTTTTTTAGTATGTATCATTAATCTTTGTAGAATTCTTTTTGTATAAAATAGATTCGGAGTTGATTTTAACGTATTTTCTGCCATCTAACAAATGGAAACAACATCATCGCTTGGCATCGTCAAGCCTTTTTCCTCCTTTCCAGCGTTTTTTTTATAGATGCTCCATCTTCCGTCGCAGGTGCGTGCTTTTTTAATTTTATCAGCTGGCACATTATTTTCTCCTTTTCCAATTGCTCGATGCACATTTCTCAGGGACTTCAGCCGGCTTCGGTCGGCTGTTGTACCGTATTAGCGATCCCTAGGTGCCAGAGCTCACATCCTCATAGGGCTGCGTACAGATTTATCGGTTCTTGCCGCACGGGTTTCGCAATCCCGAGGTATCCTAGACTATATCCAGAGGTGGCGCACATACATATGTGGACACACCTGACATGGAACTGGCGGTCCAGGGTCATCCCTCCGGAGTGGTCTGACCATTGTCAAGAATGCGAGATAACTACATAGACTTACGGAGAGTACGGTGTTCGCTCAAAGGGAAAACCATTTTCTAAACGGTACCACGGGAGGCTGTGTGAAGGACACGCAGGTAGCCTGAGTGCCGGTGTCCCCAAGCCCTGGGATATGCTGAGGTTTATTCTCAAAATTTCCGCTCAGCCAATTGAGGTTGGATCTTCGTGGTGGCAGTGGTAAACCCCAATATCGCCGGGCAGGGTGTACTGTTTCCACCCGCCGTGGAGTTGCGGTATATGCAACCGGGCACCGTCCTACCAGACACGGTAGAGCATTAGAAAGGGCTTGCACCCATTAGTGTGGATGCGTCCCGGGTTCGCACCCAGGTGTCGAGTAATAGTAGATAGCTGCGAAGCCCCTGCGTGCTGACTGAGCGTATCTCAATTCCGCGCCCATGGAGGCCGTGTGGGTTTAAAGCCGGTCTGTCAGGTATGACACGTTAAATCACTACAACTTCTGCTCAATGCACATTTCACATTTTATTTTCTTCTTAATTGATCTTAATATGAAACCGGCAATATATGTGACAATTTCATGGCTGTATTCTGTTCACGATCATTGAAGAGATTTTCATATTTTTGTCTTATCCTGTAATGTACAATTTGCATCGTCAGTAATGATAGAATTGACATGAGTAACTAATTTTTTTATAACTCGACCTACATTGTTGACACGGATTGTTATTGAATACTTTCATTCTTCTTGTGTGGGAGAAGAACGTTTCTAAATGATCCTGCGATAATTTATATATTAGAAGGTACGACATAATAGGTGCAGCAGGATGAGAACCTAGGACCTCTGTTTATATAAAAATTCTATACAAAATTTTGTTTGTTCTTTTTTTATACATATATGTCACAAGGACCTTATGTTTCATTCTTAATAATGTTGATAAATTTCTTTAAAGTCACCTCCAAAGTTATCCTATTATTTTTTACCACTCATCGTGACGTTACTCCTTAAATGTTCAAATACTGTGCTTTTCAATATCTTAATATTAATATATTTATATCCGATCTCCCTTGTGGTTTAATTTGGATTGTTTTGAATTAACATCTTTACTTGATTGGCATCAATTACGGATGGTCTACCGCTACGAACTGTCTGGACAACCCAATATTTGTGGTCACATTTATTCTGATATGTTTATATTAGAACGTATTGGACTTATGTAGTATCGCAGTACATATACTGACAGTTAAAATTAATACTCGTTCCACTATACTCACCACAATCGTGAGTCGTAATGAAAAGTTCATGTGCGGTCATTATCTATTCAAGTATTAGATGTAGCAATAAGTGATCTACTAGACCTACTTTGCTACATTCAATACTTATTTTAAAGGAAATTTTCGCCGTCATTTTGAATGAAGAAAAGGGTAGAAAGATATTTTAAATTTAACCTGTGTTATCAGTTTATTAAATAGAACTACTGGATTGTTTATGGGTACACCCATAATATAATTCCATTAAAATCGAAGAATAAGAAAGAATAAAAAAACACTTGTGTTTGGTGTTCTTATAAGTATATTTGTATCTCAAGCAGGAAATATACAGCGCAGAACATTATGTAATAACAAAATATCGAAATGTAAGTTGTTGATGCGACTAAACCGTTTACGTGCACTACTGATACCAGTATGATACACGAATTATATTTAAACTATAGTGAAGCAGTGACTTAAGTATATAAAAAGTTTCCTCTGAGAACATTCTGTTGAAAGAGTAACATTACACGATGCGGCTCGACTTAAGTGTCATATTGTTGTAATAACTTACATTACTCACTGAACACATTTAGAACGAGACGCTTTTTTTCCTTTTTAAAAACCTCCTCTTTAACGGTAGCATAGCAACCGAATTTAACGGATCTTCGATATTAGCCGCTTCTACTAATGAAGTAGATCTATCTTGTTTTGATCTTGTCGGGTGCGGCATATACGATTCTATATCTACGTTCGGTACTTTGATCCACTTTGTGCCTCTAGGGAATCTTTTCTCGGACATGATTTCTGGTCTCTTTGACATGTCTTCGCAGTTGTCAGTATTATCGAATTTATTCGCGTGTCGTTGAAACGCAAAATCTGCTGCTTCTAGAGTAGTCTTAGCCTTCTCAATTTCAGCATTCAAGTCGATTACATCGAAGATACGATCCTGGAAACAAAAGTATGTTGTAATGATGCGAATACAACGTTGCAAAGTTAAACTCGTTTCAAATGTTTAACCGCGCTTGTACGTGAACAAACGTATCTTTAGTAAATTTAGTAACTTGGGTAAATTTAATTGATATGTTGCAATATTGCTCATTTTACCACAGTATAAAAATGAAAACAAATAAAAATTCAAACCTACGTGAAAGCAAAAAAAAAGGGAAACATGGTACAGCTTTCTTAGTTATGTAATTAATTGAATTTTATATTTATCTTTTTTATATAGGTCCTTTCCTATTTAAAATTATCTATTTTGATGAATTTACTAAAATGGATTACGTTTACCACATGCATCAATAAATATTCTAAAATATTCATTTTTCGTTATTTCCGACCATCTACGTTCACAACATATCCACATAAAATATAATAATCATACACTCTTCAAAATTTCCTGATATAAATGTACATACTTTAAGTTGCACGTGTAATTTTTCGTTGTAGAAGTATAGATATTTTGCCAACAAAGTTAAATTACTATATGAAACGTTAAATTAATCCTATCTTAGAAATTTAAGTGTTAGTTTGTAAATTCATAATTCTCTTTACGATTATACCTATAATAATCAATACAAATCATGAAGTAATTGAAGTCTTAAGAAATCAGAGCTTCAAGTACTTAGGGATTTCATTGAAATTATATTATGTATCAATTTTGTTTATATTTTCAATGCACAACCGGATTCACTTTGAGTAAGCGTAGTATTTTGAGGAGTTTATGAAATCATTGATCATGTATTGTTATATAATGGGATTAATGTTATCAATTAACGATTTGCAACTTACTGTTTTTTTGTATTATCTATAAGTTAATAAGGTTTTCGTTCACACGGATTTTAGGTCTTCGAGTACTTACACGCGTAGTTTTTAAAATATACATGTAAGAATCTAAATATTTTGGAAACGATTAGTTTACCGATATATATAATTTTGTTAAGACTTTTTTTGTTTCTTTTCAAGTTTTACTAATCGGTTACTTCTACCTACAATTCAGAAATGTACGACATGCATTTTGCAAATATCTTTCTATGATTTCAGTTTTTGACACAACTGTTGGAAAATATGCGATTTTGAATGTATTTTCTCCTGGTCCTTTCATACAAGTGCCTTACGCTACATTACTAATAGACATAAACAACCTGCATATCTCTCCGTTTGCGTCGCAGATCTGCCAAGTCTTCGGCGAAAGCAGCAGAAGCACGGTCTTTGTAACGTCTCTGAGCGACAACATAGTCATCCTCATAGTCGTTATTGTCATATCCACGACCATATATGTAATCCAGACCATCGTACAAACAATTACGGTTTCCTGATATGTCACGAGAACCTAAAATATGAACGAATTAATTAAAAAAAAAGAATACAAAATTATTTATCTGGAATACTATGTGTTAGAGCTGAGTTAATTGTAGCCGTAAAAGTTGCTTAAAATGTTTAGAAACTTCCTTGCGCATGAAAATGAACAGTGTTAAGTGATAATTAACACGATTATATTATTGAGAATGATAAATAGACTTCGGATTTTATACATTTCTAGCATACAAGATTGTTCAAAACTCAGTGCAATGCAAAATGTAACAGTTTCATATGGTTCTTGTTTTGTATGGAATATGTTGCAATCCTTAATACGATTAAAAGTTCTGTGTAATTTCAGTTTCTACAAATGATATCTACATAAACACCTACAGTGTGATGATAAGTTTCTTCTGAAAAGAAATATATATTGTCTAATATGGAGTTCCGCTTAAAAGTATTAGATCACTTATTATATTTTCACTTTCTGAAAGAAAGTATGATTAAATTTTAATATTATTATTTTCTACTAGTTACGTATATAGCGAGAGTCGTAATTCATGGTAAAAATTCAGAAGACGTAATCTACACGTGAAAAGAAATCGAAAGTCTAGAATGAAATTTTTTCGTACGAAACTCAGTTGTCGGGATAATCCAATTTGAAATTTTGTTCAGTACATGTGCTTTTCAATATGATTGCTTCATGCATTTTCCACTATTTCTACTTGTAATAAATATTCAAACTGACTTACTATACATTGATTTTACTATTCTATACCAAATTACTATGAAAGAATAATATAATAATAGTATGAATATTTATAAGCATTAACTCAAGTAAAAATAATCAGTAATGGAATGACATGTGTTCTGCCAAGTGTAATTTTCCAAAAAACAAAATTCTGTAGAAAAACGTATATTTCATATTTTTCTCTATTTTTATGTAAAAAATTAGTGAAAACATATCAAGTTCGGAATTTTAATTTCAAAACCTTGCACATGTTCCCCCGATGTGTTCGTACTTTATCTGTGAAATGATAAATGTTGAATTTTACATAGAAATCGTTATTGCATATATTTGCCACGAATTCACTACTCCCCCAATCTTGTCTATATGTAGAAACAAATATGTACAGAATTTATTGTAATGATATTCAAAATTTTCAAGATGTCCACGAGAATGTGCAGAAAAATGTTATTTATAAGATATGTGTGTAAGATGATTAACAAACTGTTATAAAACTATCGAAGGTTTATATTTTATAATGTTAATTTTCTATTAAACGACTACAAATAATTTTAGAAAAAAAGTCTGTAATCACGATGTTTAATTTCATAGTACTTTGTGTATAAATCAACTATAAGATTATATAATTAAAAATGCTTGATTCTGTTTAAAAAAAATCATAAGGCAACTTGAAACATTTCGTGAAACAATTATGATTTTTTATACTTTCTGGAATAACTTTTTAATTATTTTATACACATTTAATTTCATTAACAAAATTTTCTTGTTAAATGATCATAAGTATCAACAAAATCGTGCATTCTATCACAGTTAACGTACTGTATAAAGGTACAAAAGTGGAATAGTGTTTTTGTATTAAAAAATTCGAAAACATTATCTGTTGAGTAAATGATTTAAATCTTTTAAATAGTACTCTTAATAAAATGAAATAATTCTATACTGTACACTATTTAAACTGTAAAAAGAAAAGAAAGAAAATACAAAATGATATTATATAAACATAGAAGACACCTGTTACGCATGCATGATAGATATTTGTATTGCAAACACGGAATTTGGGTATTCGGTATCAGGGAAGGAATTTCAAGCGATTAATTGTGAAAGCACGGCGTACATTTTAAATCACATTTAAAGCGAACTTGTTTATTTCTAGAGAAGAGAGAAATAAAAATACATACAATGTCAGGAAAACCATTGCTGACCTTGAATCCAGGCGATAAAAAGGACAGTGGATATAGTGAACGCAGAAATGAAATATTTTTTCATGTCTATATTCTTATTTGTAAACTTTTTTAGTTTCCTCTTTCTTAGATTTGCTATTCTAGTGTTTCTTATTACGTTGAAGTAGTAATCGTACATTTATCTATAAATATGGAGGAAGAATACAATTCCAGTAAAGCAACATAAATCGATTCAACAAAGTCTGTACTAAAACAAGAAATTCAATTTCGTTTGAAAGTACTATATCACTTTTAATAACAAATTCCTAATTTTATTGTTCTGCCAGTAATTACATAATTATTTCGCCCTCCTTTTAATAATACTTTCTTATATTCGAATACTGCGTTTATACGTGGGTTCAAAATGAGCGACAAACATATTAAGTCGTATTTCTTTATGGTATTGCTGATGTATTTTTACTACATGAAATAATTTTATACAAACATCTGTGTCACGTACGTGGTTAAACTATTTGCTTCTGACAGTACATCGATCAATTATAAAAAAGAATAATACGATCTTCTCGAAAACAGTAACGTCATTAAATAAACTTTAAGTCTTTATAGTTCTTCAATCATAAATGTTCAAGCTAGATACAGTACCGGACAAAGAGACCGGTTCGTCGATTTGTTCAATATTATTGATAATTGACAAAAACTAAATTGTGCTTAAATTTCATCATTGACTCTAACATTTAATCACAGTCGAAATTGCATCAATGGTCGTCCTTTTTTCACGCATGATGCCCTACAGCAAAAAATTTTCGTATAATTCAATGTTTATCATATTATACGAATACATATACAATTTTATCAATAGTATCTTCCTATTCACGTTACTAACACAACATTCACCAATAAACTGTACGCGGAATTCGGCCTGTGGAAACTATCAATAATACGAGAAACAACATTTGTCCGGTATCGTGGAAACGTTTAAAAGGCAACGTGTTTCTCCGAGCGTTCGCGAATCGAGACCTTCTTACTGAGGATAGAAGATGACTGTTCTTGGACATTCGCAGACTCAGTCGCACTCTCGTTAATCATCGCTCTGAGCGCAGCCGCTCTGCGTTCTCTTTTCGCTTGCCTCTCGGACAGTTCCTCCATTTCGGACTCGAGATCGTTCAAACGGGCTTTCGTCTGTTTGGCTCTGGTCGCCGCGGCGCTAGCCAGCGAATCGTCCTCGTTGGTCAGCTTGGACCATTTCATGAGCACCGGTTTGCTCTCGGACATCAGATCGACGTCATCGAGAAGTTTCGAACGCCGTTTGAAGCTCGATTCCGCGTCCTCGATCGCCGATTTCATCTCTTGCTGGATGTCTCGCCTCGAGTGCAACGCGTTCTCCAGGAAATCCTGTTCCTGGCGCAGTCGTCGCGACGGTTTTCCCAACACGGTGTCGACCTCTTCCTCTAGCCCGATCGTGGCCAGTTTCGCTCTTAGGTGTTTCGTGGTCGCGGTTACGTCGTTGACGAAATTTTCAGCGAGCTGACGCCGGCTTCGTTGACCACGGCTGTCGTAGACGATCTCCTCGCTCTCGGGGAACAGGGGGTCGCTGGAGGAGAGCGGCAATTGGGGAGCACGGATCAGAGGGTCTAACTCGAGGTCGAGGTTACGGCCGAGGGGATTCGGGCGAGGACCGGAGAGGTCACGCGAGCCTGTAAAAACCGACACCTCAAAGATCGTTTCATTACTAATGGGATGACGTTTTGAGCTCTAAATTATACGTCAAAACTCGTTTCTGCGGGATTAACAGCGGGAGGAAGTTTTTTTCGGCAACAATTTTGTATTCGATTGATAGACGAAATATAGTGTATCACTATATGATATTGCATATGAGTTTAAGGGCGCTTGTACGTAGAAAATAGAACCAATCTTGAGTATTCTTTGTTTTTTTTTTATAAAATTTCACCACGCAACAGTTTAATTCTTGAGACATATTTTATGTTACATTTTTGTTATATAAGAACGATAGAATACAATAGAATGGGATGAACACGAAGTTATAGAAGGTTCGTGTTTATAAAAACGATAAAACAGAATCTCTAAAGCTGGGTCCACACTGTATAATAGAACACTGTTATATAACAAATTTTTTGGAACTTTGTTATACATCTTATTTTTATAACTAGTTAGTAGGTTATAGCTATTGTATTATATCAACTTTGTAAAACATTTTGCATCTCATTAAATAACAGTGTCGAACGTTAGGGACGTAATTCTGGCAGCATGTTTCTTAGTTCTATCTTTATGGTTCATAACCGTAGGGTCTCATAATACACGTTTTTATCGGAACAGTTCAGTTAAACGAGCGGTCAGTTCTTTGATACTTTCGATTTTGTGATAATTGTAAAAAACAATATTTCATGAAATAGTAACAGGAAATACTTTCTGGACAAAAATTTCAGCTGGACTCAAGTGACGAACCATCTGCACACGGAAGATGGCAAGTGTTTTACAACCTTGTTTTTCTAACTTTGTTTGATCTTTACTGATACTTTATGGATAAAGTATAACTTACTATATAATACGAAAAATGTTATTTAGCATAATGTTGTATAACATTTTTCTTTCTTTTTTTTAACAAGTTCTATAACTCTGATATATAATAATGTTTTGTTATACATATACTTTGGACCCAGCCTAAAAGGGAATACAACACTTCCTGTTTTGCTAAATTAGCCTGATACCTTGAATTTGACAAATACTTTCAATATTTTACTCTTTTCTTATTTCCAGTGACTAGCTAGCAGTTTTTTTGTGTTGCTCTTGTTCTTTTACCGTTTGTTAAGAGACACTTTTCTATCGCTTCGAATTTGGCACTACCAGAAAATGTTGACCTTAGAAAGTACACTGAATGTTTAACTATTATTTTCCAAACTTTATTTGTCTCTCGACGTCAAATTGACAGAGTGGTAAAAAATTAATACAATAACGAGATAATAATTAAATTTGCAAATTTCTATGAAATAAGTCACAGAGCCTCAGCTAAATTTATCTACAGATGACAGAATAACATCATTTCTTAGATGGAAAGTGTGTCAAATTGACACAAGGGACAAATAAGGGTAATAACTTCTTTTATTATAAATTTTAATAATACTTCTACGAGAAGAAAGAAAGACATCGACCAGAATATTGCATATGAGCTAAAACTTTGAAATTTATATGTTAAAATTTTTATAAAATACACATCAAAGAATGAGTACTAAAAGGCATAAATTTTAGGCCTCAGAAATATATGTAGAAGTATACTTTTATTTCGATTCAATGTTAAATTCTATATAGAACCACACCTCTCTGTCTAAATGGCTATTGAAGTAGAGTAAACCTTTCCATGATGTTTACGATGCCGATGAACTGTTGATTATGGTGGGAACGTCAGAACGCATAATTATTTACAGGTAGCTGAACCGTATATTCAAAGTGATTGTCGAAACGATTGAATGAAAATTGCCGGAAGTAAGTAACAGAGGTTACTGAAGAGGGATGTATTGTAGAAATTTCCTTACTTTTCATTATATTTTTATAAAATGTTGTCAATATACAGTAGAGCCGCAGGTATTCGAAATAATAAGGAGAAGTACGTGTCCAAATAAAGAAATTTCCGGGTAATAGAACAATCGTTTTTCTCATATTAAACTTCATTTATTTAAATAGAGATCAAAAGACAGTTTGTTTAAGTGTTCATGGGTTCCATATCTTTTTGGTTGCTAAATTATAGAAATTTTTCAACATAAATAACTAAATACGTAGAATTCGATAGAACAGAAGAAAGTATATAAGAAAAAGGCATCTATTGTTGGGAGACACTCAGTTCGGATAATAGAACGTTCGAATATTATGGTATTCGGATAATGGAAGTTGAAGTTCTACCGTATTAGTAATACTTTCCGACGAAAATTGGAATTTTCATCAGGAAAATCGCACAATCAATTGGAAATAATTTCCTACAAATTAAAGGAAAACATAAAAATGTGTGTGTTTTTTAAATAGTGAATGGGATTTGGAGCGTACGTTTTGTTATGTACGGTCATCGATGATCTGTTGGTAGTTTCGTTCTGAGAGAAGTTTGAAGAGGGCGATATGAAATTATAAAAATACTCCCTCTACTCATATGGTGTTTGCTGTTTACATTAATAAACCTACGAGGGGCATTCGAGTTAAAAGTAGATCAGTGTTCCTACCTCATCGTTATTAATGAATTTTTGTTCAATACTAATATTCCTATTTTATTTGTTGATATTGCTTTCGTTCAAATGCTTCTTCTTGAGTCGTTTTCGTTGACTAATTCATTTCGATTAATTTTTAACTTCATCAATTATCCCTTTCATCGATTTGTCTGCTGGGTATTTGTCCAAAGGTTATAGCAATGTGTATGTGGTAGATTTCCTTCGGAAGATATAGTTCCGTACTCAATAAAATTGTACAACATTCATGCATTATATTTGAAATTTTTCTTTAAACTCTAGATCTTCTTTATGCACATAGTTTTGCAATAATGTCCAAACAAACTGTAAGAATACAGTCTCCTACGTTAAAAAAGATTGAGATATAAGAATAGCAAGAGACATGTCGTTTATACACCTTCAGTGACGGTGAGACCCTTAAGTGTAGCTCTTTGAACGTTGGAAAACGAACAACATTTACATGTTACTATAAATATAATTACTTGGATATTATACAAAGTTACTGGTACTTGTGTATAATTACGAATGTATGTGATAAACTGATTTATTTTATTAAATTCATTGAAATGAACGGAACTGACTAATCGACTAAATTCATTTGTAACAACTTATGCATTGCTATGTTTAACAATTCGAACGTACTAAATAGTTAGTGTTAATTTTTCGAAAGATTTTCACGTACAAGTGCCCTTAACACGTTGAAAGATAAAATGTCGAAAGTCGGAATGGCTATTGTAAGACGTGGCCGCATGTGTATTTTATTTAACAAGCTGTTACAAGAATATATGGGCGGCAAGGGTTGTATATATGATCAATTACACAACGCGAGTAACAAATAACAGTTCTACACTAATCAGACGTTATTATATTCGTGTCACGGGATGCAATAAATTACTAGACGGTTCTGCTTCATGTTACGGTTTTATTTTGTCACGTTACGTATTTGAAGTTCTCCGTATGACGGTTGTTTACGGAAATAAAGTTTTCTGTTGGCTTGTGTAACAGTAGATTCAAGAAACAATACATTCAATTCCTTTCACATCACGATTCGGATCGAACATGTCACTCACGAGATGTCAAAGAAGTCGAAAATACTTCAGCGTCCTCAGATTTTCGAAAGTTACTAACTACGTTTTAGTTTAAATGGGGGAAGAGAGATGGGATAAACGATCACCGCTTAAAACCATTTTGGAAAACGACTGAAGATGTTACCGATGTCGTTTCGGCTGGCCGCGATCTCATCGGCTACCGAGGTTCTGGGTTCAGAGAAGAGTGGGCGTCCGCTGTACTTCCGGTCTAGGTGATCAACCATCGGTTTATAATACGATTCCCCTTTATCGTAGTTGCAACCGTAGACACGCGTACGCGGCCTGCTGAGGATTGGTCTTGACATCTTGACAGAATTGGTTCGATTGTCACCTGAAATATCAATAATTCATCGAGAAGATTAAGGGACTTCCTACTCCTAAGCGACCTCAAAAAATCAATTTTTCAAAAAGTTATTTGTAGAAACTCTATTTTAACAGAAGTTGCAACTTTCAAATTAATTTGCCAGGTACAAAAAATTCCTGAAAAATGTTATTTATATAGGAATAATATTTGAATAAAAATACTGTAACTTTCTTGAAATTAATTCCTTGTGTCATTTTTCAAAAAGGTAATTTGTAAAAATGCTATTTTAATAAAAGTTGCAACTTTCTTCAAATCAATTTTCCAGCTACAAAAGATTTCTTAAAAATGTTATTTCTGGGGATAATATTTAAATAAAAAAATTGTAACTTTCTTCAAATTAATTTCCTGAGTCATTTTTCAAAAAGATTATGTGTGAAAACGTTATTTTAACAAAAGTTACAACTTCCTCAAAATTTAATTTTCCCACTACAAAAAGTTTCTCAAAAATGTTATTTGTGGGGATAATATTTGAATGAAAATACTGTAACATCTTTCGAAATAATTTCTGGAGTCAAACAATGAAAATATGCTGCAACTGATGTATGTATATACATATATGTATACATAGGGCTGGGTAACTTGTTGTTCCCAGGAGTAATTTTTGCTTCGCTCCGACAGATTGTCAACTGACAACATAGACCCATACCTCTGTAGCAATTATTCAATGTAATTGTCAAAATTTTGTGATAAAAAATTTGGAATCATCTGTTGGTCTTCATTAGAATTTCATTGTACGATACATTTTCATCAACTACTAATTAATATAGAAATTATTAGCGTAGCTCCGTTATTATTATATAAACATGTATTTTTAGAAACGAATTTTTACATTTGAAATCATTTCTCCGAAGTAAATTTGTCTAAACTGTGGGTGTTTATACATAAATAGATTTTCATGGACTACATTACGAAAACTGGAATGAAACAAAAATTGTTTACTCTACTAAGGTTCTTCCCACACTTTTAAACAATTAGGAATGCAGAAGCAGAATTTTCATAAAATTTAATCAGGGGTTAATTAAAAATTCCTAAGCTTATACATCTAAAAAATTGGTCGACTTTTATATTTCCATTTATTTCCTATTTTCATTCAATATTCAATTAATTTAATTGCTGGAGAAAGTAGTAATCCATTAATAATGTAAGTAGTTCCATTCATAAAAAACAAACATAGGTACCTATACTATGTACAATAGTCAATGAAATCTATAACTTCATTTGCAATAACCTAATAATTGTTTCAGTTGATGCGTACTTACTATCATACTTACTTTAATAAAATTTATTATCTGTATTAATATAAAGTTTTAGTTCAGTTATTATCTGAAGTTAAGAAAATGGTTTATGTTATACACTAAAATGAAGGATGTATATTAACATTAAAGGTACTTATTAATTACTACAATGAATGTTTATATTATTATTTATTTTTACAGATAATATTTTGAATTTTTGCACTTAATTTGCGTGAATTTTTCAAAAGTGACGCTACCTTTTTCGTTCATTCCATATTTTTATTAAAATATGAATTATCAAACGCACATTTTAATGAATAAGGAATATTTATGTAATGATTATTATCGATTTTGATAAGTTAATTGATAAAGTTATTTTAAAGCCATGTTTTGTTCTTTCTGTGGGAAAGTTACTATGAATTAAAATTTTGTGAAATGACTGTGTTCGTATATTGTAAATTTTTGTAATTCCTTCTGTCACTAGTACTGACGGAAAATATTTAATGAAATACGTTAGTGTGATCACTAGAAACATTATTTAAATACACATTAGTGGACAAAATTTCTGTTGTACATTGATCTACAAAAGTGCGCACTGAAAATTGCGATAGTAAATACATGTATTAAACAGAACAAAGAGTCTATAATTATGAAAACACATCGTTTGATATCTTACTAAAATTGAAGAAAGGGGAATTTATAGAAATGTTTAATTATAACACAATGTAAGAATCTATAAAATTATGTTCGACGAGTAGATAAGTGCTTTTATATGCATTTTGCCTACAAATGGAAATGCATTATGTTTGAAGAAAACGTTAACAAAATAATAATCTAATGCTCACTGAAATACAGAAATTCAACAAAACTTTTTAAGTAACCAATACGTTACAAAATTTTCAATTTTCTAAACAAAAGAAGAGGTATTTCCCTTGTCCATTAGAGTATGATAAAAAACATTTTACGGAAAAGTAACTTGCACGAACATAATAAAATTTGGATAATATAATTTCATTAGAATTGAGGAACACATCATTTTATATGTGAAATGCGTTGAAAATTTAGAATAAAATTTGCTTATTGGTAGACTTAATATTATTTGTCATCCATAATGGTGCGATGCAAACGAATAAGCTAGGACCAGGTGAGAATGCAGATAATAACATATCAATGCCTACGTTCATTACGAACAGAAATATGGTAATAGGCAAACACATTACTGATTAGCATTTGAGAGTATTGAATGTGACGAATTTTCAGATTCAATTTTCTGGAAAAGGCTTGATAAGAAAGAATTGTAATTTTAATTAAACTGCCCTATTTCTTGCGAGACACTCTAAATATTTGTATTTTCTAAATTTCAGGTTAAACTTTATTAAGGAATATTAGCAACCATAGCAAAATAAAATGAAAGAAAATATAAGTTGTCTTTGCCATTGGACAGTTATCTTCAGGACATGTCAAGTAAAATGATATAGTTTATAATTTAAAATATCGAGTGCAAAAACCTTAAATTCAGCTATTGGAGTAACTCATATGCGCTATATTAAGGCTCCTGAAAGCTATTATCACTCTTAAACTTATAATCACCTATGTCTGCCAGTACTGACATTCTATTTAGGTTCGAATGAACTTGAAAATACTTTTCTTCTTCAAAGTAGCCATGAACGATTTGAATACATACTATGCTCATATAGGGTGTTAATAAAATGTGAGAGACGTCGCAGGGTGGATTCTATATGCCAAATTGCAATAAAACGAAACTCAAGAATGATGAAATTGCTTTCGAGGCTTCATTTCTAAATCATTAATTATTGAAAATATAGGCAAAATAGACGCACAATTGTATGTCTGGCACGACAGGTTATATGACTCAACTATGTAGCCAATTCGAAGCTGATACACTGTTTCGATCAATGACCTAGTGAAACTAATGAATGAAATAAAATGAATGAATTCAACTCGTGAAACAATTGGAGAACGCGCCTCTCAAGTAGAATAAGTGGCCGCGTAAGACGTATTTTCGGCGTATTTCGCCTGTATAAAAATACTGAATGAATTAATAACTCAGAAATCATCGTCATTCTTGAATTTTGTCTCAGTTTAGCATTTAGAATCCACCCTATGAAGTCGTCCACATTTTTATTAACATCCTGTATATCACTGGACACTGTTAGGAAATGTAAAATCGCAACAAACTGATATTATTAAACAATCTAATTGTAAGTTATAAAGAAAGAAAACATTAATGTTTTCTTGTATGTTCAGAAGAACATAAACCATATTTTATCATTCTCTTTCGGAAATGATTGTTTAAATAAATCATAGTAACCCAATGATAAATTTACTTAAACGCTTACTGATTCAATAATTCCATTGCAGTATCCTCGCAGTATTTCCAATAATTTACTTCTTAATGTGGAAGTTAGTTTTGTATTTTTGGATTGCAAGATTACAAACACCATTGCGTATTTTGATATTAGCTATTAGTTCCCAATTGAAAAAAAAAAAAAACAAATATTGAATGATTTTCACGCGCATCGAATACCATCATCGTGTGTAAAAATAAAAGCAAGGAAAACGATAGCGTAAGGAAATTGTATCCATGCTATAATTGATGTTTTCCTTGGAAAAGCCAAATGTTCGATGATATACGAACGGAGGTGTACACATAAAAGTGGGTGATTCACCAGACTTGTCGACAGTAACTTGTTGTCAGGTGAAACAATAATATCTTCTATCTATATCGCCTGCTAATGGTCGCAGATGCCAAAAATCTAATTATTATAATCGAAGAGAGATCGGTCCAAGTTCTGAGCCATTGACATTCGACACTCGAGAATTCTACCTGCATCACTCTATAGCATCTTACGAAGTAACTATATTTGTTTCGCCGGGAATACAATAAAATGGCGTGAAAACTATGTAATTCCAAACGGACATATTGCCAAATGCTTGCTTTCCTTTACGTTTTTTGCATAACGAGTTCTTAAGTTCATTTTGAGGTTTTTAAATGAACCACCTTATACCTTGTAAAGCATATCGAATTTAAGTGTAAGCATTACCAAATTGTATTCTGTTTTAATTATAATTTATATTGTAGCAATAATTCTCAGTTTCGGATCTCTCATGCTATAATAATATTTTGTCTCACAATCAGCGGTTGAAGTTCTTCTAATATTTACACAAACATATAGGATATCTCATTTAATGAAATCAAAGTCTTTAAAAATTCGATGCATATGAAGAGTGGACAAAATATGTAGAATTATAGTAATATACGTTCTAACGTAAACAATCCGTAACTTCGTAAATTTGACATAAGAAAACCCAATTAATTATCCTAATTACATTCTTTCGAATCATGCAACGTTTGCTTTATTTTTACCTGTAAAAATTAGTTCACGAGGAATTAAGAACGTCAAGGTAGACGAATTATTTTGCACACAGGGTATGCTTCACAACTAAAGAATAATATTGTTTCAGTACTTTCTACGAGTAAGAATAAGAAAAAAATTGTCACATCAAATGCATCTACAAACACTGTATTCAACCTTATACAAATAAAACTATCAAACATGAAGCCACTGGCTTATTCACTGTATTCTGATGCACAAATAGATCGATGATCTAATTTGTTTATTTTTCTCAGCTTTAGTGTTTGAAATTGAAATGTGGAAAGTTGAACTCAATCTAGAACTGCTGGTATGCACGGAATAATTTTTTAATAAAACGTTTCCAAACCTAATATTGTACATTTTTTTGATCTTATTATGTACAAAATGTGGTCGTAGTCATATTGTTCTCGAGCATGGAATGATTCCTCGTGCAAACATAAATCGGACATATAGAGGGTCGGGCAGGGCAGGTGGTAAAACCGGACAGGAGGTAATTATACATGTAAAAATAAGTCGAAAAATGTGGAATAAAATTTGTTCGTATAATGCTTTGTTTTCCATATAATCGAACTCCAAAACCTACTGGACACGCGTTCAAGTTTCTAGGGCTACGCTAACGCGTCTCTTCATCACATTCCGTTTCTACTTATTGTCAACCACAATTACACGCATATTCAATTAAATTTCGAAGTTTTTCTCGAAAACGAAGCCTCGTATGAAGAAAATGTATTCTTCTTTTCCGACATATTTTTTCTTATAGAATCACTTCCTCCAGTTGTATCACCTGAGATACCTTGTGTATGGGTGTTATTCGTGGTACAATTAAAAGTGAAATACTTCGACAAGAAAAAAAAACATCAAATGCATGTGATAAAATGTTGTCATAAGACAGCTTTGTTTCGACAAATATCAGACTCGAAAATTTTTTGTGCACCGAAGCATTTGATTACGATGTTTACCGTGTCTGTGTATGACTTGCTGTTTCTACTTGGAATGAAAACTGACCGCCTTGCGAAATAATACCTACTTTCCATTTATTCTATTGTTTCCAACAATACAAATCACTACCAAATTATTGCAGCAAATTAATTATACTAATACAACAGCGACAATGCATATAAACATTGCGGCAATTATTCATTAATGAAATAATACAGTCGCATCACTTGCTTGACAAGTTTTCAAATTCGATTTTTCTCAAAAAACGAAGCTTCAGATGAAGCAATTTAGTTTACGTTCTTAATCTATTTCTTATATAGAATCACGTCGATTTTGATTGTACTACGAATAACGTCGCACTCTGTATACTGTGTATCATATAAAAGTTAATGTGTTATCCATAAAATGAAAATAGTTTTCCTTGGAAACGATGTCTGAAATGCAAAATAAAAATAGTTTTCCTCGAAAACGATGTCTGAAATAAAAAAGACTTCATTCTACGTTTTCAATCTATTTTTTCACAAGGAATCATTTTATATGCTATGTCAGCATTGTGACCACGCCCCTTTTTGTATACACATTCATGTACAAAACATCGAAACAGCTCAAAGTACGGATAAATATATTTTCAATGTAAACATTCAAAGTTTGCGTGTTAGATTTAGTATAGCGTGACTTTCATAAGTACACAGAATGATTTTAGTATTTCTGTCAATACTTTTTGATTGTAACAAAATGGTACTTTGTAACTGATTTGCCCAAAATTTCTAGATCCTTATCCCTAATCATTCGAGTTCATGTAAATGAAATTAATGCAGAGCCCCAGATACCTCCATCTGCTCTCGCCATCGAGACTCTACTATGAGTAACCAGTAAACTGGAACGAGCAACTACATGTTGCTCAAAAATAGACTATGTCTAATTTGGTGTCCGTGAACTGAACTGGCACACACCACACTCGAGTCCCGGACAACCGCGTCCGATTACGAGCTACATCTATGTACGTCGTAGCCTATTGTGATCTTCCACGAAACGCGTCTTATCAATTTTCTTTATCCTAATTACTCAAAACTGAAAATTATCCTTCCCCGAATTTATCGGGAGCATTTGAATAACGTACATTTTCGAATTTTTCAATTTTTTAATTATACCTTGATAACGAACTAGTCTCGTAGTGAAGATTTCAAATGTAATAACAATGAATATTATTCAATCTGTGCTGGATAAAATGTAGTATTATTTTTTTCTGATATAAATATTTTATTTCACTAACACGCGTGCTTCTAAAACGAGCGAGCTATTTATTCTTTTTCTGACAATCTACTGACGATGAAGTAACTATAACGTAGATTATCGTGGAAAACGATTGTAGGAGTAAATCTAACCCGAAGGAAGATATGTCAATCGAGTGTAAATACTGGCTCTGTCTACAAAATATTAAAAATGAAAGTATACCATCATCGAGAAATATTCGATTGTTATCTTTGTATTCTTATGATCAAAGAATTTTAGTAGAGAATTTCTAAAGATTTACTAAATTGAAAAATTTTAAATATGTATTTGCACTGTTGAACCATTTGGAATAATGAACCGAATTAATGAACTACTTTAAATTTCAGTACGAACAATAACACATTTTAATACAGAATGAGAATTGCAAAAATAAATGTTTTTATTGAATCTTTTAAATTTTTCCGCCGATCTAATATAGATATATGTATAATGAATAAAACACAATAAGAAGAACTTGAGATGGTATTTTGTTTCGTGTATAACCGAATAAAATGTATAACTCAGAAAATAAATTTCTGTGTTAATATTCACAGTTTAGTGATTAAAATTAATCCATTACGTAATTAACAAGCAGATAATCAGTTGATTGTAATAAATAGACTGTGGATCATTACGCAAAATCAACTTCTGTGCAGGAATTTTCAAAAATACAGGTTAATAAAAATCTCTTTCTTCCCTTAAGAATTTTAAAATATTAAAATAATGCATGGACTTGTACTGATTATTACACACATCTGCAATTTTGTGTTATTATATTTAAATAGTTTATTATGTTTAAGTTTTAGATAATTTATTAAGTTTTTTTATATGAAATCCACAGTCTATTAATAAGTATCCAAAGAAGAAGCTGAATCCTTAAATGATGGTATCGTTATCGCTTTTTCTTCAATCTTTTGCTTTTTTTTCAAACGGTAAATTTGTGTGTTTTTTCAAAGACAGACATTCCAATAATTTTCTTGAATATATTAGAACGTAGATTAAAAACAGAAAATATAGGTGCCTTGACTTGTGGGTGCAAGAAGACATCAGGATAAACAAGTATTCTTAGGTTTTATAAACTTTTAGAGACTCTATCTCACCATTTAAGGATTCATCATGCATATTAAATGTACCAAATAGTCCACTATTTTCATTTTAATAAAGTTAAATTCAACGGAACGATAAATTCAAATGTTTTCCCAACTCTTCACTAAATAAAAGTAGTATCAAAAATCAAAGAATAAAAATATTGTACTTTATAGTTTTTCCAAAATTAATATTAATTCAACATAGAAATAGTGAATCATTTATTAATATACTTAACACATTCAATTAATTTTCAAGTAAATATTGTGGAGAATTGTTCATTTATACAGAGGGTGTCTTTTGTGTCTTACTAATCATTAATGTGTGCAGTATAAACAATTTATAGCATTGGCTGTGCCACATAATGTGATTATACGTTCAATATACTATAAATATAGTGACATTAACAAATCATGTATTTATTGCACGAAGAATTTTCGAACTCTATAAAAAATATAGTTAGCGTAAAAGACGGAGAATTTATTATTAACAGCGGATGATTATACCAAGCCCAATTTAAAAGCAACAATAAATATGAGCACACTGTCAGAGGACGTCGTTAACTCGTTGCGTAAGACACACCAAATTTAACTGGCAGACATAGCTTCGAACTGTTGATATCGGTTATAGAGTTACTTTGGCCAATGTACTTCCTATTTTTACAACGATACAGCATAATCTCCATTTATGATTAAATGTTACATCCTACATACTAGTCAAGTAATCGTAAGTTGGTTATAAAAATCTGTTATTTCTTAAAGATTGAAAACAATAAAAACGTTTGCATATAATCCACTGATGTTCAAATTTCAAAAAATTCTCAATAATAGAAGAAAAAAAGTAAAAACTGTCTTGAAACAGAACACAAGTGCAAAAAGTTTTCGCGGTTGTCAAAGCGTGCATAATACGACTATAGTGTTCGTCGGAATAATAAATTAAAACTTCTGGAGAATTGCAAATAAAGAGAAACATCCGGAAATATCGTGTAAAAAGAATAATTGTTAATATAATTATTGCTATCAATAACAAATTTCAAGCAGCTTAGATTATTTATGAATCATTATTCTGTATGGTTATGCTGTAACGTTTAAGATTTTATTAAAGAAACTATTAAATAAGGATGTTTGCGTAATCCTAAAGAATAATTTCAATGTGCAGTCAAATGTATTAAGTGGCATAAATAAATACGAGTCAATGAAAGATTAAAAAATTAAAATGCAGGTACCTGAACTTACAAGGTATCCTTTTAGATGCTATTTCCTCGGAAGTAGCGGCACGACTCCCACAGACGTTGCAACGCAGGTTATTTCCCACTCCTTTCGTGGGCTACCCCTTCCCTTATGCGACTGTTCGCACGTAAGGTGTAATTCCTACCGATTTGTTCATAAACGACGAGCGGATCCGATGGGGTGAATCGCAGTGTAGACAAAACAGACTAATTATAGAACTTCATTTAAAATTCATTTTTTTACATCTAATCTCTTATACTTATTGATTTTTTTATAGAAATGAAATATGAAAAAGAAGAAGATATATGTAGTATATGTATTGGGTAACTTGAACATGGAAAAAATAACGAAATTCTGAAATAATATTAGGATGGTATTGTGAACTCACTTTCTATGTTAGAAATATACAAAGTGATGTCCATCGGTGGTGATACACTGTCTAAAACGGGAAACCACGAATTGTGATGCTGTTTCTATCTTTTCTGACGTAATAGCCGCGGAATCTGCAATTATTCGATTCTTCATGACTTCCGCAGTGGTGGATTGCATCCTAACATTATTTCAGAATTTCGTTACTTTTTTCATGTCCAAGTTCAGTTTGAGCTCGTAAGGTAGACATATTTGAATACATCTTAACACGTTCTACACGATGGAATTTAAAAAACTTTTTTTAAAAATGACCATAATAAAATGTTCATGTACGATACTCCACTTTTAAAATCATTCGAACTGTATTTGAAACATTTCTTGTATCATTAAAATCAGAGAAGATATTTAGGTGTTCGGTCTTAGACGGGACACCCTGTATACTGTAAAAGAAGATGGTAAGTGTTTCTTAGAAAGATAAAATAACCGGAAGAAATTCATCGTTTAAGTTAGGAGGGAGAATGAGGTAATATCATCAGGTAGGAAATTAATACAATTATGTGAATATAAGCACGATTGTTATTGTTATTCAAAAGTCATAATTACAAATGTTGTAGACCATGCAAAATCGATATTCAAAGATTTTCGATGAAAATGTTGAAATGACGATTTTTTATATATTCTTATCTTTTTTTCATTGTGCCATTTTACAAGGCAAATATTCCTTATACTTTGTTAGATTTAACATCCCTTTTTAGTCCTTATATTGTTTAATAGCATGCGGCTAACATTCTTATACCTTAAAATTCATTACTCTTCGTTCCATATGTTCCGCCTTTTTTCAAATTGTAGCGACTTCTCCACATCTGCCACATTGTGGATACCGTTCGAACATCAAACAAAAACAGTTATAACGCATAAGATCAATGTTCCTATTTCTAATCATGTAAGAGTTCTGTTATCGCAGGAATTGATTTATTTATGCAACAATCGACAAAAAAACTTATTAGATATAAAATCTAAACCTCCCTTTATAATTAAATGCAAATGAAAGTATTTGTCAAAATATTTTAATTTAATTATAGTTAATTTAACACGAAGTATAAAATCTCCCTATTTCTGCTCAGCGAAAATGAAAATGCTTGCATTTCTGCACACGAGTGTATCTCTATTTCTGCTCAGCGAAAATGGAAGTGCCAAAACCAAATTTCGGCGAACAATATTAATGATTCCGTAAATTTTCTTTAGTAAAAACGCAGCGTACCTGTGTAACTCACGATCGCAACAGAACCGCTCAAATCACGTTTCTTTACGACGGCACACTTATTAAATTTGTTTCTATTAAAATGCTGCCATCCATTGAACTACAGGCTGTAGCATTTTCTATGGAAATACTGAAGTAATTTAAATAATTTGTTGTATCACTAATTTATTATTTAACCTTGTACATTAAATAAAAAATATACGTACTGAACAGAAATAGAGACGTGATTAGAAATCGGGACATTGACCTTACCATTGGTAGACACTCGCAAGCTCGGCGCGATCAAGTCAAATATTGACCATGTGTCTCATTACTTTCTTTCACATAAGCTTCGCTCTGAAGAGACCATTTTTCCTCCACCGCGTAAATCGAAAACCCCAAGAACTATCCTTCCTCGTTCAGGGCTCGATCAAGTATAATTCAAAATTTAGGAAGCACCTTTGGACTAGACCTATTTCGACTGTTACGTTCTGGGTGCCAAGTTAGCTCCGGAAAACACCCAACGTGGAGTTCTTGTTCCTCGCCCTCTGCCCTAAGTTCAGAACTAATAGCATCAGAATATGCGGAACAGACCGGGAATAAGGAGAGGTAATAAGGAAAGAGGCGAAAAAGAGAGATAACGACGTTTCGTCCTGGAAACACCAGCCAAACTCATCAGTAGGGCTATACAGTAGCCGAAATCTCTATAAAGTAACATATTAATTATAAAAAATAAAAACATTCTCTTTTTTACTGATTTTAATAAACTATAAATATTGCAAGCAATCAAACATTATTGAGTAGTAGTGTCCGTATATGTTTATATATTTTTATATTAAATACGTTATAAATCAAAAATAGTAATCGTTTTGTTAATTAAAGAAAGTATAATGGTTTAGGTAATTATGAAAATTGTCAAATCAATTTTGTACATATTTCTTTGAAATTGTTATTTTTGAACATACTAAAGATTGGTTACGGCAAATACTGCGACGCATTCGAAAGGTATTGTGGTAGATGAATCATTTTACTTACCCAGAGAAATTATTTTCGTTGTCGTGAACAATTCGAACGTTTTCTATCTTGACGAAAATAACTGCTTATTATTAGATATAAAACGTTCGATTTACATTGACATATACTTAGCCATACGCTTTACTAAATTTAAGTAGGTAACTTTAAGTCAAGTAAAATAATATGAGTGATATGAGAAATGTGCATTAAAATCAATAATGACAGGAATTGCAAAAAGTAAAAATAACTATTATTAGGTAATCTGAACTGTTTTCTGAATTGATTTATCTAGATTTCCCTATTTTTATACGATATTAATGTTATACCCATTTCATATAAAGACTATTTAATAAATTTAATTAAAAATCTCATTTCATGCGATAAAATTAAGAAATTTTCAAATGTATTTTTCGTCTAACATCTTATAGTGTAATGTAAAGTGTATAATTATTTAAAGATCAACATAAACGCCAACAAAAATACTTGTACAGTTTCAATAATTGTAAAATAAGAAGTATAAAATCCGTCATTTTGAGGGACTTAGTAGTTCTAGGGTTAAAAGTGTCAAACTTCGAACTACCTCCAGTTTTTAGATACAAACACACCGGAATTTTCTTTAACAGTCTAACAAAAGATTAAGTAAATCTGGAAGATTACATATCTATTGAGTCATTCGGAAAGTTAGTGGCGTTTCGAACCATAAAATTGCAACCGTTCATACAAATTTCTAATTTGTATTTTATTTCGTGACCAACTGCAGTATTCTCTTCTTTTTACAAATTCTTTCCATTTACGAATAATGTCATTATAACAGTTACATAAAAATATGGTTTTTCGTAGTTTCTTAGTTTTTGAAGTTGGTTTTAGATATAAAATGTTTGTGCGTTTTGCATCAGATGGGACAACTGGTAATCAGGATGAATGATGTAACATTATGTATTGTATGTTAACTAGGTAACGAAGTTTTCTTTTACATATTTAACATGTTGTAATTTGAAGTATACTTTGTACCCGCTCTGTACATGTATTACTTATAAGAAGGAAGCAAAAATTCGACACCTAACTCGCATAAAGCATACAGTCAAATACGGTTGATATTATACAAAGATTGTTCACTAGATGAAACAACTTTCTATTTCTCCGGTAGAGAAGGTAATAAAGGCACTGCATCCAAAATCGTATGAAAGTTTCGGATGATCTAATAATATACAAAAAGTTATACATCGACGAATTCAATATTAATCACTACCATCTAAGAATGGCATATACCTTCACCGCAGTATATTAAATCATACGAGTTATTAAGTTGAAACGTTTCGTTGTTACTGCATATGTTTCGTCAAGTTGCATACATTTTGTTCATACAACAAAGCTTAATGATTACGGAGACATAATCTCTTGCGTCTCTGGTATAAACGTGAAGTGTCTGTCTTTTCACATGATTCTAGTTCTTCCAGTAGTCTAAAACGAAACGCTCATGTATGTAATTAAAGGAACGTATTAAAAATTGATAAATTGGTGGCATTTTGAAGAGAAGGTATTAACTTTACGCTAAACTTTTTATCCTTGACGTTTAAAGAAATATCTTAATATTAAAAAATCCAGATCATATAATTAATATCATCGCATTATTAATTACAGTAAAATCATGATAATCGATTGAAGAAATACAGTTTCGACAAAAAACTGATGTTGATTTTTCCTGTTAATTACTACATATTTCCTATACGATACACATCGTTGTATGTGTTCCTAGAAACAAAGGTACGTAACAGAGGGACAGTATTCAAAGAAAAAATCGCAACGTTCAAAAATGGAAGTGTATTTTTACAGCGGCGGTACACAATACGGAAATAAATTTTAATAACAAAAAATCCTTCATACAGCAAGTTCATAAAATTCAAATAAAGATTAAACGTTATTAATATATGGCGGGGCATTTGATTGCTTTATTTTCGGTTTCAAATTTGTAGAAAAAAGAAAGTATTAAGAAATGGTGGTCTGAGAATTTAAGTTAAAGTGTACTACAACGAAATCTAAGATCTATGCCGCGGGTGAAGATTCCTGGGACCATAGGTTTATCCATTTCCCTTATCAAAAATATATTTACAGAATCTTTTGGTATTTCAAGCTATAATACGCTCTCGTGTGGTAACTGTAATATCTAGGCTCGTGTCTCATATTAATTATGGATTTCATGTCCGCGGATCGTTTGTAACTCCTGTCGGTATTCTTCTGATCGTAGGTCCTCATTGCTCGTTCAGCCCACTCTTGAGCTCGTGGTGGTTCACGGAACAACCCCTTTTGCCTTTGGTTCAGATAGTCAATCACATCGTCGTAGTAATTTTTTCTGAAGAAAGAGAGTGAAATCGCAACGATAATAACAGTGATAATAACAATAATGACACTTTATTATACACAATGTGTACTGAAGGAAATGAAAAATTATTAGAAGCTCATTGGAAAGTGGAAACACATATTTCAACTGTATAGAAAGGCTTTTCTCAAACACATAATTTAATATAAAAAATATAAATTTCCTTTCGTTTATAATGTATGATTTTTTAAAGAATGTATAGATTATTTTAGTTTGTTAGTAGCTTTCCTTTGAATTTCATTTACTAAAAAACTAACGAAGTATATTAAATGCTATAGATTATAGTGTTTAGTAAAGATGAATCAATTTTTCTGTGTAACTTTGAAGTAACATTTATATAAATAACGAGAAAGAAATTTCACGTTTCTTGGAGTTCATACTGACAAAAAGAAACCAATGTACTTTATACACTTAACGTTTACAAGTAGAAATATGAAGCAATTGTCAGACGCATTGCCGATTGTATTTGACAATATGGGAGCTAAACGAATTCTCAAGTTCAGTTGTTTTTAAGAGAATGCTCCGTATAAAACAAGTCTATTGTACATTTACAATCCGTTTCAGCATATTGAATCAGCTATACATGACCAACTATACAGAGGGTGTCCCAAAATAGCTTCGACTCCCGGAAATGAGGGGTTCCTGTTATGAGTTTGTTAATGAGATATGAAAGAAAAACTGCGGCCAAACATTTTTGCTATAGAAAAACCTGTTTCAAATCATCCCAGGAACCCCTCATTTCCGGGAGTCGAAGCTATTTTGGGACACCCTGTATACAAAATCAAGATTGACAATTAACCTGTTAACACTAGAACTACCAAACAATCCGTCAAAGTGACGGATTCCAGGTTTTTTATTTTATAATTTCGGAAGTTATAATAAGCTTTATGTGGAATTTATTGTTGACTTCTGATTTAGTATACATTTCATACGATGACTGTATTACGCTAGATCGTATTATGTATTATGTATATTATTAAATTTTGCAAGTTAATTTAGTATACATTCACTGCTGGTAGTTCTAGTGTTAATCGACTGACCTTCCGGTCATTATTCAAAATGGGAAATATATGTGACTTATTTCGCAATGAGCATAAATCCACTGTAATTTTTACCAATACATATTATAGTACAATTAAGTATAGACATCTGTTAGGTATATACGTATAAGAAGGTACGGTCAAATACAATTAATGAGTTACTTTCTCCGGTACCCTTAACAGGTTAGTATCTAAGTAATCAAATTTAATAGGTTAGTATCTAAGGAGTTAAACTTAACAGGTTACTATCAAAGTATTCCATAAAAACGTACCTGTATTCGTAAATGTAATCGTAATTAAGGAAGAGAGGACGAACCCAATGATGATTGTAATGTGGTGGTTCAATCTTTTCTAATTTTATTTTCGGCTTTTCTCCAGCTGCTGCTGCATCTCCACCTTCCGCAGCACCTTCCGCAGCTGAAGCACCTTCAGCGGTTTCTTCCGCTGGGGTGTCGTCCATATCCCATGGCGCTGCTTCATCGTCTGCCCACATGTTGTTTTACAAATCCAAAAGTAAAAGGGCCTGGAATTGACACAAGTAACGTGCAAAGCTGACATATTATCCTTAAACGTTTACTCAGTGACAGATCAATAATATCGAATTAGAAGTAAAACATGAGTGAATTTGAATTACAATATTCCCTTTCTATGAGCTCTGTCAGAAGAGTAATGGGACTGATAGAATAAAAATTTATATTGTCGAGTTATCTACGAATCAGCATTATCCCCTTCAAGACAGTTCCCTTGGAACGCCACAAACCGTTGGAGATGTTGTTCTCACTTCTTGAAACAGTGCTGGAACTGTTTCCTGTTGGTCTCTGACAACCTATTGGATGTTATTCAGAGTTGCAACATGACAACCTCAAAGGTGGGAACAGAAAATAGTCAGATGGACTCAGATCAGGGGAGTAAGGAGTCTGTGGAACAACAGGAGTACCCTTTTTAACGAAAAATTTGCTTACAGAGATGCTGATTGTCACATGGCGCTCTCTGTGAACGAGTTTTTTTGCCAACAATGGTATTCCTATGGATCCTTACTCCCATGATCTTAGTTTATGTGACTTCTTCCAATTTCCAAGAATCAAAACTCATCTCAAGGGTCGTCAACTTGAAACTGTGGACAACAGCCAATAAGTTGTGACTGACCAACCGAAAGCAGTTCCAGTTGCAGACATCCAGTATTATTTCACAAAGTGGCAACAAAATCACCCGCGATTTGTGGCTTTCCAAGGGAATTATCTCGAAGGGTATAATGATCTGTAGACAATATAAACTTCTACAGTACCAGTTCCGTGTTATATTTCTGATAGACGTCGTATTTTCCGCGTTTTGTCGATCTCTTGATAATCGCGTTGCCATCATAAGGCCATCCAACTGTAAGCGAAACTTAAAATTTATGGTACGTGTGCACGTGTTAGCCATTCTCATTAATATCTTCCACGCGTGCGTTCACTGAAGAGTACTCTTGGGGCAACGCATATAGCATGGTCGTAAAAGCAACCAGCAGCTAAAGTCTTCATGGTTCGGGCACTGAAATAAAACAATTGATAAAAGCATGAGGTGTAAAGAGTCTTGAGCTTCATTCACGATCGTATCAATTGTTTAAACTCTGTTTCCGTGCCACGTGTTTTTTGTTTCAAATCGACATCAATTGTTATTTGTACGCAATATGAAACTCTAACATTGCAGGTCCTGATTAAAATTTGAAGATTTTCTGTTGGGTTGTTTGGAAAGTTCGTACCGTTTTTAACGGTAGAGTTGCAGTCTATATTTTTCAATTTATATCATGGTTTTATTTATTATTTTTTTTACAATTTTTCCATTCAATTAAGTTCCTTGCACCAGTTATACAAATTTGATTGTTTTAGAAAAAACTCTTTTAGAAAAAAATAACGTTTGGCAACATCTATAGGGAGTAGAAGCGATATCTGATGGAAAATAAGTTGTCAAAGAGTTGTCAACAGCTCTGCATCCACTAGTGAATTGTAGTGTATGTCGGGAGCAATTTCCGAGAGCAACACTGAAATAAACACATAGCACTAGGCATATGAACAATACAGACAAAAATTTTGGAATTACACTATGTATTAAGGAAAATATCATACAATGTGACGTTAGTGAAGATTGACAAGGAATTGTAAAGGTTCGGCTGATAGTAAAAGAAGTGTTATCTGACTATCCTTCTTTCTCGCAATCGATAAGTTGAAACGGTTGGAGAACCGTGTATATTCCTTTCTATTGTCATCTTCGTCCAAGACGAAACAACTGTAGAGAGGGAATACTGTATTATCTAATACTATCAAATAGTAGTTTTAAATTAATCTCACCTTCAATATTATTTATCTGATTCTAAATGACATATAACATCTTGTTAAAAATGTCGTGTATAAGTTTTAGTACTAACTACATAAAACTATGAAAATAAAAAAAATAGCGTGTTATAAAGGAACTTCTATCTTAGAAGACAAATTCAAGCATTTCAAAAATTTGTATATGATCGTTTAACATTGAATTTATAGTTGACAATTGAAACTTTAAATCTTAAATTAAAAGTAACAAATATTAAATAGGTATATAAATTAGTCTAAATAAAAGTAGACTACAAGTAATTATTATGTACAGTTTATAATAATTTTTATTATTATAGTAACATACTATTTCGTGTAAAATTTGAAAAAAATATCATTTTATAGGACACAATTAAGAAATTTTTTAATATATTATTACAACAATAGTTTTTTTGTGGTTTTGACTTAGAATTTATATTCCAACTTATTTGTTAAAATGTACTTCTTAAGTTGATGTTAAGTTCTCGGAGTTGAATTTAACTTATCATGGAGTTGATTTAAATATAATGAAAAATTAACGAAAGTAATTTACGATAACCATTCTAACGAAATTTGCGTTTCAATTTGAATGTCAAAAACTGCATGAGTTGGAAATTAACAATTTAAATTAAAATTTAGATTACACCCCTGAAATTTGACATTGACTGTTGAAACATCGATCAATATTTTATTTTAACTTTAGATTTGAATTTTATTGTCAAAATTGCATATAAAAATATAATGCTTGTTATATCTTCCTTTTTTCTAATAAAAACGGTACAGTTCAGAAAGTAAATCATAGCAATAGAGAGGACTGGTTTTTCATGTTTGTAAATTATAGCATATATCCACGTGCCGAATGTGCCTAATTACAAGGAATACTGATGTTGAGGAACTTTTCTTTCACGCGAAACTCAGAGCTATTACTCTCGATCGATATATTTAGCTAATGAGATATATTTAACAAAGAGAAACGGGTCACCTTAAGGCACAACAAACTGTTTGATTGTGACATCAATTAGTATTTGTAGCTTGATCGAATTCATTCTATACATATACAATCATTTCATGAAGCAAATGGTAACTAACACCATCGCAACATATTCAACTTTTTCTTCTTTTATATCAATATTGATCACTTTTCATTACATTAATCAATGGAACTACATAAATTCGTTTAACAGTTACTTAAAGTGCACCAGAATAATTAATTTAAAAATAATATAACTATACAATCATTTCATAAAACTGTCCGTGATAACAACCAAAGTCGCCACAGCTTATTTCAACTTTTCTTATTTTTATGGCACTGATCAATTCCATTTCATTTAATTAAAGAGCAAGTATACCTATGAACTGTGAAACTAATGTAAACAATTACAATACTCTTTTGTGATTAAAATAATTTAGAAATAATTCATTTTCACATCTCGTTCTCTACGATGGAACTTGTAATTTCAGGAAAAAAAGAAATAACCGTCTCACTTCCAAAAGATCACCAATAAAATGTTCACACTGTCACTATTACCGCTTTTCCGAAACTGAAAACACACTAATCGCTATTCGGAATTTACACTCGTCAATATCTTTTTTCAATAGAACGCCTGTTAATGTTTTTCGACGTACAAAGATGGTACCTGTAGTACGATGGCCACTCGCCTAGCCACTACTTCAGACTGCAAAAAAAATACTCAGCCGAACCTTGCCTTGTTTCGCTTTTATTTTAGCTTATAAGATTATCCTTGGCTACCCTCCGGTCTTCCCCTTAAGTAAAAGGATGTCCCCTCTCTCCGCGAGACGCTGTCGGAGGAGGGGGGGATTTTTGGCAAGCAACAATTGTAATCATCGTTACCACAGAGGGCAACAAGTTACTTAGCACACATGTAAATTCATTAGCCAATGTTACGAGGCACGTACACCACCGTCCAAAAGCTTAGGGTCGCCACCTTGTCTTCTATTCCATTACATGTTCCTCGCATTCGTAGGAAATTATTTTTACGATCTTGTTCGACAACACAGTCATCCATTCTTAAATTCTTAACACTAGAACTACCAACGATAAACGTATATCTATTTCTATCAGATCGATGAACGTGACAAATATTTGAAAATATAAAAATTCATAAATTAACTCATTCCTTCATTCTCATATTGGAAGAAAAGTTGTAAAAAATCTGTGAAAATGCATTGTTGTAACATTTTAATCAGCGTTATGGAAGTATGTATACTAACCAGTAATTTTGACTGCTTTGAATGTTCTAGTGTTAATTGTATGCACTTCATCGTGCGTTACAAAAGGAATACACGTTCATTTTGAACGGCTCGTGGCCTCGAATTTTTAAATGATGATATGTATCAGCCGTGATGCGTTATATGTCCACCTATTTGGTTTTTCTTTCAACTGTTAAATACAGTTTGAATTTAACCAATATATACATAAAAAAGTTTCACATGTTGTATTCGAATTCCAATTTAATTTTTTTGTTTAATTCGAATTCCAGTCAAATTAATTTTTTTTCTCAGTGAAAGTCAATTATTGTTTACAGTATTAGTTTTTAATTTCGTGAAACTTCCATTCTTATTAAATGTAACGACAAAAGTCTCGAATTTGCTCGTCACTTCATATTAGAAATAATTTTAATAATACAATAAGTTCAATAAACTTCGATTTACAGTTTTATAATTAAAAGAAATATGACATGTGGTATAACTTCTGTTTATTTATAGACTACATGCTACAGAAAACTTGAAGTACGTATCGATCGATGCAATTTTATTTCGAAATAGAATCATTGACATACTACCCTGGTTTAGTTACTAATAGCTTGCTGCATGAATTCTGTCTGTCAATTTTTTCCTGACGGCCGCGGTCAAGCAGTACGTGCGTTTGTTTTAACGAACGCAAACGTGCCGTCTAGGAGCCGCTAGAATTTGCGTTCCGTGTGAACTGCTTCATAGAAATCTATGATCTGCTGAAATGCTGCAGCAAATTGTCGTGAATCGTTGGTCTGCACCGGGCCTTAGAAGGTAGTTGCACCCATCGATAGATGTGAAATGGAAATAGGGGAGTTAGAATCAATTGAGCCACCAGAGAAGATCCAGAGACCTTGTATTCGGTATTAAATTTGTCCGAAGTTATAATAGTTACGATCTAGTAACCAACGTTAGTGGTAGTAAATAAATATTAATTTACTAATGTACAATCTGTTTCATAAGAGCGTTAGAACGATATCAGGAAAAATAATCAATATTTTTCAAAAATTCAGGAACAGGCTTATATTACTTCTAAAATACTACGACGTAATTAATTAATATAATGCATAATAATCAAGTATAGTCTCTATGGTTTTGCTCTAATTTTTCGCGTACCCCTCCGAAAATGTCCTCCATATTTATTTAATTTGTTGGCATAGCTGCTTTAAAGTAAATATAACCCTTCCACGAAGCTTAAGCTTGATGATGCTCCAGAGATTTTCAATCGAATTAACGTTTGGTTATTATGAAGGCCAGTTTAGTGTTTGGATACCATTTTCCATTTTCCTCGAAGTGCACAGCCGACTCTAGTGTTTCGGATTTTATTGACTTCTTGTAACACCCAAGATAAATGATCTTCACTTTAAAAAAAGTAAAAATTAAAAATTTTTACAAATTTAGTTTTGTCCTCCCTATCACTTGTCATATGCATTTTCTTTCTCTTCTCAAAATTATCAACATTCTTTGCAGCCTTTATGAAACAACCTCTATATTAATTAATTTACCTTCTAATACTCCATCAATTGTGTAGAAATTCGCACTATCTTCATGACGATGAAGCATTCATTTTAATATTCACAGCACAGGAAGTATAACAGATCGTAGGACATACAGGAACAAAGTAACCACCCCTTTATTGGAAGAACCGTCTTTATTATGCATGTATATTTAATTTTCTTTCTCTTTTTTTTGTGAGACAACCCGTGTCTCCCCGTGCTTTGCACGCTGTACAATTCTTCGGATATAGTACAAGCCACAATATAGCGAAACCATAAAATTAGAGAAGTTTTAAAGTAAATCCGTGTAGAGCGACGGCGCAAGCAAGTTGACGGGAATACAAGGAGGATAGGGACCAGAAACCTCGGTCAGGACCGTGTAAAGTTAATGTATCGAACATCAATCGGTGCCGCTGCTCGTTGCTTTAATTTAGCGCCTCGCTATATCAAGGCATCTACTATACATCAGTATGCTTCACAATATCGTTACAAGTGTAGGGTGGATGATGGTTTCACGGATCGTGGCGAACGATTATACAGTGATTCCTCGATGAGTGCGACACGAACGACGGCATTATTCCCACCACTGGGGTGATCCCCCTCTAAAGCCAATCAAAACCGAGTAAACAGAAGCTAAACAGAGGCTTGGCTTCGTGCAAGAAACAAATTTATGAGAGGCTGAAAACTTATCCGCCTGGCCACGAATCCTCCGAAGCGGACTCGAGTTCGTCGCACTCATCGAAACATTACTGTACAGATATCCGAATTCGCAATACCATCCCAGTGGGTCGGCCGTCCATGCAGCTGGTACAAAATTCTTTATTTACAAACGAAAACGTAAAGTATACCTGTTCTACATGATTTCCATGCGCACGCAAATCTCTCAGCATTATTAATCTACGCGGAAATCAGACGTAGCGTGCTCAACGAAACGTCACGAAATTGAAAGTCCGACACGTGAAACTTGAATGAAAACGTCAACACTTTGTTACGATTAAAGGAACCCACATACCAATACGAATATTCACGGCGAAATTCGCGTGTTTGTTCACACTGAAGTGTGATCTGTGGGATCCAGTTTAATAAATCGTGGAAATGAATTTTCACACGATCATATTACTAGATTGACAAATACGACAAATATTTGTTTAATTATTTATTTATATACAAACTGGTTGGCCCCTCTTTTCCCTCATTTGGTTACATGTATGTATGAGATGTCGCAGGGTCTAGAATTAATGTTTATATGTTGCCTAAATGCCTAATTCGCCCCTGAGATCTTTCAGTACATTTAATTTAAAAGATAATGTAGAATCGCCAAAGAAATTTATGGCTGTTAGAATTTGTTAACTAATTTTGATAATCTGGTGATGATATCGATATGATCAAATTGAGAAGTGTGGTGGTGAAGTAAGGGTGGGAACATAAGAGGGTACCTAACATTTTTCATAGGGGCATTGATGTTAATACCCTCCAATATATTTGGACAGTATACAAATATTCATTAATATAAAAAAACTGTAATAGTTTATTGCTATCACATTTGCCTTCACTCATAAACATTAAATACACAGAGTAAAATATGATAATATAATTACATATTTTCGAATGATATTTGTATGTTATGAAAATAATAAATGTTACGGATTAAATAACGCAATGAAGTGAGAAAAATTTGTCAATCTAGTAATATCATCATGTAGAAATTCATTTACATAATTTATCCTATTACCACGTATTTAAAGCAGCAGCGAAGAAAACACCTTGAGGAGCAAAATACGAACGCTACAAATTCGCAGTATTAGAGGAAATTTTTCTCATTGTTGTGAAGAAATGTGTAAGACACGTTTGTTATATTGTTCCGAATTTATAGCCGCGAAAGATTCGCGTTCTATGCGGGTTGCTTAATAAGAAAATTTTAAATAGATTCATTCTATTTTTGTTCTTTTTGAGTATTTGCTATTCTCGAAACATTTTATATTCGCGGATAATTGGTACCTACAGATTCTCACAATAAGTGCAAACTAAATGCATGTCTTGATAACGTATCATACTGTAAAATAATTGTTACCAAAAGAAATACGTTAAGAAATTATATAACCTTTATATTTATCCCTTTAGGCTGTCGCGGCCGAAAAATTGAAGAAGAATGTTTGTATAGATTTGGAATTTCAATTCTGACACCGAATGCTTTCGAACATTCCAATGATTTATGTGGATCGCAGACGTTACTATTAAGCACGCTTCGCGAGAATGAATATCGGATGACTTGAGCGCGCCGTTTAAAAAATATAAACGTACAAATCTTTCTAATCTACGTGTCGTATTATGTACAACATCGCGCGATATCGAGACAACAATATCCTTATCCTGGCGTCCCTTATTTGTATTGAATTAATCGACTAAAAACAATCGGCACGAACCAATTACCGATGGAAATTAATTAATCATCCGCGTATATCCAAAGACTTCGTGAACTCCGCGTCCAGGGAATTTTTGTATCGCCATTCGAGGACAGTGATCTATCACAGAGTAACGTACCATTACACTAACGGAAACGTAAAGTTGGTGTTTTGTGTAGTTGTGCTCTGTTTCCTTAACAATAAATAAATATAGTCTGTTAAAATCTATCGAGACGTCGATTTGATCTTTAACCCTTAACAACAGCCGATTCATCTAAGAGACGAGTACTCCGGTAACGACTATTTTGTAACACTTTTAACCCTTTGACTGAGAAAGGCGTATATTTGGTACAAAGGTACAAAACCTACCTTCGAACTATTGAATGGATTTAAGATTTTCTATATACAGAAATGATATTCAATGGATATAAGATTTTCTATATACTGAACTTTGCATTAATTCCCCTATGTGATGAACTTTACATTGCTTGGCTCGGAACAAAATATGAACTTAACATC